AACTCTGACGAAGTCTATTTAACTTTAGTGGAAATTTTTTAAAGAGTACTGTGGAATTTGTCCTCTGTAACTGAGGAAGGAAATCACAAGTTTCATTGTTTTGCACATACATAACAGCAAGCACTGTTAGTAGACAGACTTGAAAAATATGAACTATAAAAATAACTTAAATTTGGTATTTTGGGGTCAAATTCTCTGGCCATCACCTAATAAGTTACAGGCCTGTTAACGTGCAACTGGGAATTCATTCTGACAAACATAAGCAGTTAATGATTAGAGAGATAAGCTAGTCTCTGTGAGGGCATTACACTTGTCCATACCTCCATATCCACTGTACATGGTAGCTGCGGTGGTTGATGTCGACACTTTCTCGTAAAGGGTCCACCCAACTCCAGAAACAGCTATTCAGCCCTCTATCTTTGTGGCTTCTTCTGTGGTATACTTTTTAATCTATTCAACGCCTTCACTCGTTTTGGTATCCGTTTCCCCTCACTTTCTCGTTCACACTGTGTCAGTCTGTTTGCCTTTATCTTTCCCCATTTTCACTCAGTTGTTAATCCTTCGTCCGCGCTCTGATCCCCGTTCTTTCCATCTCCACTTCAGTGATAAGAGGAGGGGGAGGAGAAGTGGGGACAAAACAGGAAAAAGCAAAGCAGTCCTCCCTTCACTTCATCCGTGCTGACATCAGTGTTTCCTGCCCCTCCTCCCTGCTGGACATGTTTCTCTTCAATAGTCAGCACATTTTTGCCCTTTTAATAAATTGCATTTCAAATATTTGAAAATATTCTAGAAACAAAGTAAAAACCTGTTACTTCAGCCTTGTGAACTTCATTGGAAAAATACTTTATTGCATGCTGAATGTGTCAACATATTCACTTTTGCCATTCATAGTGAAATTGTTGCTTAAAATAATATCTTCCTCAAGTTGATTAAAATGAGAAAGTCTCATCTTTAATCTCTAATCCAGTGTGTGAGAATGGGTAGATGAGTGGATGTGTAAAGCGCTTTGGGGTTCTTAGGGACCAGTAAAGCGCTATACAAATACAGGCCATTTACCATTTTTAATCTTGTGTTAACTAATGTGCTCCAAAAAGCTGGTCAGCAGAGTTAGTGTAACGTTTTTTATTTTACATTAGATTTCTTTGTTTTTAAATCACTTTCAGTTTTATTTCAGTTAGTTTTTTCGGCCCACTTTTTGCAGCTATAACAGCCTCAACTCTTCTTGGAAAGCTTTCCACAGTTTAGGGTTGTCTTTATTGGAATTTATGGCCATTCTTCCATAAACACTTCTGTGAGGTCAGACACTGATGTTGGACAAGAAGGCCTGGCTCACAGTCTCTACTCTAATTAATCAATCCCAAAGGTGTTCTGTCGGGTTGAGGTCAGGACTTTGGTGTGGAAGAACTGGACTGGCCTGCACAAACTCTCTCATTCATGTCTTTATGGACTGTGCACAGTCATGTTGGAACAGGAAATGGATATCCCCAAACTGTTCCCACAAAGTTGGGAGCATGAAATTGTGTAAAACGTCTTGGTATGCTGAAGCATTAAGAGTTCCAAAACAGCCCTACACCATAATCCCCCCTACACCAAACTTTACACTTAGCATGATGCAGTCAGACAAGTATAGTTCTCATGGCGACCGTCAATGCCAAACTTATCCAGAAAACATCTGGATGCAGCTCAATCATCCAGGTAAGTAAATACCGAAAGGTTGATCCTGTACATCTGGACGTAGCACTTTCAGTGGTAGGAACATTTCGTCACATCCATGTAGTGTACTCTGTTAAGTGCCAGGAGGATTGCCAGGATTTATACATCGGGGAAACCAAACGACCCCTGGCAAAGCGGATGGCACAACACAGAATAGCTAACTCATCAAGCCAGGACTCCGCAGTCTATTTACACCTACAGGCCAGTGGCCACTCTTTCAATGATGAGGATGTACACATCCTGGACAGGGAGGAAAAAGGGAAAGACCATCTCTGAATCGAGGAGGCCTAATTTTACATCTTTCACCATCTTACAATGCTGTGATTGCAGCCATTCCCCAACTCTCTGTGAATGGTACTCATGGCCATTGATCAAGGGTCTTTAATCAATGGGCTTTGATCAATCGTTGTTGATCAGTGGTCATGACAATTTGCAGATTAATGATCAAGGAACTGACCTCACAGCCCATTGTTCATTCAGTGGGATGGTTTCAGTCATTGTGAAAACTGTATTGTACATCGTAGTGTTTATAAGATTGGCGAAACCTGCACTCAGCTGAGACTGAAGAAGTCACTTGGATCAGTGACGAAACGTTTCTCCCACTGAAAACGCTACGTACAGATGAACACAATCAACCTTTGGGGGTTGTCCAGAGAACACGTCTTTGCATTGCATTTGGCGATTAAGGTTTGGGTACAGCTGCTCGGCCATGGAAACCCACTGAATGCCACATGACATATGCAGGTCTGTAGACACAGACTCTACAGAAAGTTGGAAACCTCTGTGCACTATGCATCTCAGCATCTACTGACCGCACTCTGATTTTAGGTGGCCTTCCACTTCATAGTTAGCTGCCATTATAATGATTAACAAGAAGACAATACTTTAACAAGAATTAACTTACCAAACAATAAACAGCTGGTGTTATAGAATTTACCAAATTTTAGATGGTAACAATTTTTTCTTTACTGCATTAGCTTTTTATATATTTTTCAACTTAGAATATTATCTGCTTTCACTTAAAGTAACCGAGCTATATAGTGATATTAGAGGTTACCACTAGATGGCAGTAGAGTCTTTGGTAGTCAATCCACCATAAACTGCTGATTGTATTTACCACTGTTATATTGTAAATGTAAGATCTGATCTTTTATTTGCAGATATTTCCACCAGTGACTGCAATAAATTCACACCCTGAAAATAAACATCACACTGCCAAGTATTACAAGGTTAATCAGAAATAAGAAAACATTTATTCCTCCTGCCACTGATATCATAAGTTTGACAAGTTACTGTGTCCACAACACAAAGAGTGCCCAATGTATTATTGTCTACATCAGGAAGTCACTTAATTCAGTGATACAGTAGCCACTGTCAAGGGAAAGTGGAAAAATCCTTCAGAATAAAAGTATTTTGAGCTGTGAGCCGATCTGAGCTTTGAGACATGGCAAATTATTTTGTGGAATGAGCAATCACAAGATGGGTACATGGAGGTCATACAGGGATGTACATGGTCAGCAGCAACACTCAGGTATGCTGTGACATTTAAACCCCGTCTGTTGTTGCTAATGGAACAGGTTTGCCAATAAAGGATTCCCCACACCATCAAACCATCAGCGTTTCCATAATTTGATATGCGTCTGGTAATATATCCTGTAGGCAAACACATTACAGCTAAGTGTCAATCTGAAGCACTCACTGAAGCAGCAGGTTTTAGCAATGGAGCTACCGAGAGAGCATCAGGTCAGCTGGATTTTACTGTAGATTTATTTCTTGGTAAAAATCACATTTAAATTAATAAAGCCTCTAGGAAATTCTTTTCTGTTAGCCACTAAGCTAATATCGAATGTTCAGAAAGACTATTTTTGCATTGAATTGGTTTTAACAGCTTTAACAAGAGAATGTTTTACTCAACTAAAAACTGTTTGAAACAGTACCAAACACCACACCTGACAAGTAATCTGTTCATACATTTATCAGTGTTCTAAATCGGGATTTAAAATACTGATTAACAACGAGTTGAATTGAACAATGTGATTTGAATCAGGAGACAGAAAGACGATCTCAAGGCTGAACTGACAGCCACTGAAACAGAACAGTCTGCAAATTGCTAGTTTACCACGGTGGAATTAATTTGCAATATTTGCATTGTCCCAGTGCTGTGACTGTGTACTGTGACTGTGTCTTATGGTAATGCAGAGTTGAGCAGGGATAGATTCTAAACCTCCCCCTTCTGGTCTGTTCAAAATGACTTCATCTTGTTACTTTTCAGCAGTATTTCAAAATTGGGACGCTGCCCTGAACTTTTCTACATATTACCCAATTAAGGTTACTGTCAGAATGCAAATTTGATATTAACCTGTCTTTAATGTCCCAGCTCCCTAGCAGAAAGCCTGTGTGATGCCAGACTACACCCATGTGAGAACAGTGCAGGTTAAATCACACTGAGCAGGTGAGTGTCATGTGCTCCGTCTCCTGCGCACCAACTAGCAGCGTCCTCAGCTAAACCAAACAGAATGTTTGCGTAGTGAGAACATCCAAAGTGGGCTCTCTCTTGTTGTGTGATATGGGTGAGAAATAGGACTGCTGTAAAGACACTTGGTCCTGTTCTTGTACTTCTAAGATTATCCAGAGTTTAAACAACTTTAGGAAAAAACATTTCAGACACCAAATTAGTCTTTCCTGTTTGTTGTTTGTTAAATTATCAGTTTTATAACTTGCTAGTCTAATGGTAAAGACAGATACTACTGTAATCTGCACATTTCAGGTCCCAGTGTTGTTGCAAGCCATATCATTTCTTTTTTGCGTATTTGTGTAGAATGGCCATCATATGAACACCTGATTGTCAATGAAACAGGTTCTCTTCCTGAATGCAACCTAAAATGTAATATGTAGTTTTACATGGTGACACAAACAAATATGTATTACTAAGTTAGCATGAGTCAAGCTCAAAAAACAAAAACAAAAAACAAAAACAGGAAGTCTCTGCTTAGTTAATAACACTCAGTGCTAATTTATTATATGGGCATTCTTTAATGAAAACTAGAACTCTCCAGCCAAACTCACTAGTTTTTCCCCCACTGCATTTGGATCATGTGTAGTCCTGCTTGTACGTCATTTATTTTGATGATGTCGTTTGTTTTTCCCTGCAGCTATAAGAGATACTTTTCATGGCATCTAAAGTAGTGGTTATGCATGACACACTAGACAATGCAGTCAATCAGCCAAGCATGCAAACTATGTGTAGCTGCTGGGAGCCAGAACAGAGCTACATGGAGGGATTATTGATGGACGGAAGTACATTGTTCTTCCACAGTTTTCTGCAATCTGCCTCTATGAGCTCTGAATCACACAGAATTCTGAGATGATGATAAATTGTTACAAACAACATGGTTATTGGAACACACTGAAATCTGTGTTGTTTTTTTTAGAAGGTTTAGACAGGCCATTCCACTCATTTACCGTTAGTTAAAGTTGATCTGATATTTGGAGATTACACGATTAGAAGCAGGAGACTTGTTTTAGACCCAACATGATTTTACCTTAATTACTTAAAAGCACACATACATCAAACTGAAAGCCAAGTCTACCACAGTCCTCGAAACATAAGTCAAATGTTTCCATACCCTCCTTAACTGTGGAAGCAACAGTTCACCACAAAATGCATGAACACAAGACCATGAAGTAGAACGAGAAGTGAAGGAGTGATGAATTCTCATAGTCTATAAATATTTTGTTTCACTTCACTATAAAAAAAAGAAAAGAAAAGTTCTTTCCATGTAATGACTTTGGCTTCTCTCTGCAGCAGAGTGAAAACAAACACCATCACCACCAAGACTAGCTTACATGTTGCTGATGCTTACTGTCACCAGTTAGGAGTAAGTGCAACATGTAAATGAAGGTCTGCAAG